ACTCATCAAGTACATTTCTCTCCAGTTTAGAGAGCAGGATGTAGTGGGGATCTGTGTCAAAGGCTTTATGGAAGTCCATATAAATGACATCTCTGTCCCTTCCCTTGTCTATTGAGCTATGCCATTGTGCAAGGCCACTGGGTTGGTCAGGGAGGACTTGCCCTTGGTAAAGCCATCTATGGGTCCCATAGACTTAAGTACATTCACATACCTCAGGTGATCACACACCTGATCTTTACTTACAGTGGGAGGGACTTTGCTCCTCCAGTCCTCATCCTGCTGTCCATCCACTCAAGAGTTATGGAAAGAATTTGCCATTGAAGACTAAGGCAAAAAAGCTATTGGGTACCTCACCCTTCTCATCTGTTGTTACCAGTTTTCCAGCATTGTCAATCAGAGGCTAACAGCTTTGAATTTTCTTTTCTGGTTAATGGGCCTGTAGAAGCCCTTCCTTTTACTCTTTGCCTTCTTTGTCAGGTTCAGTTCCAGCTTCACCTTGGTCATCCCTACACAACCAAAGTTTATATTCTTCCTGGGTGATCTGCCTTAACTTCAGCTGTCTATACATTTGTTTCTTTCCCTTTAGTTTGACCAGCAGTTCCCTACTCAGCTATACTGGTCTCTTGCCTTCCTTGCCTGATTTCTTGCTCCTGAGATTGCTAGCTCTTATGTTCTATAGAAGACTTCCTTACAAATCAGCCAAGCTTTATTCTTCTCCCTTGTCCCTGAGGGCAGTATCCTAGAGGATCCTACTGACTGTCTCCCTGAAGAGTTGGAAGTCTGCTTTCCTAACCTTCAGGGGCCTAATTTTACTCTTACCTGACCCATATTCCTCAAGATTGCCAATTTCACCAATGCATGATCACTGCAGTGCAGGTTGCCTCTGATCTTGATGTTCCCAGTTAGCTGCCTTGTGTTGGTGACCAACAGATCCAGTAATGCATCCTCTCTGGCAGGGCTGTTGATTACCAGGGTCAAGAAGTTGTCTTCCATGCATTCCTGGAGTCTCCTGGATTGCCTACAGCTCACTGTGCTACTTTCCCAGCAGACATCAGGACAATTGAAGTCCTCCAGCAGGACAAGACCCTCCTGTAGCTGGAGCAAAAGGTTTCATCATCAGGCTCCAGGCAGCCTGTAGTGGACCCCAACCATGAAGTTCCCTTTCTTGCCTTGGTCACTTAATTTTTACCTTCAGGCTTCCTGTCAGATTTTTACCCACATGGCTGCTCTTCACACTCAGTCCACCTTTTGCTATAGAGGGCAACCTCTCCACCTCTCCTTACTCTCCTGTTCCTTCCTGACAGCCTGTAGCCATCAATAGCTGTGCTCTAGTGACAGGATTCCCCTGGGTGTCCCACCAACTTTCAATAAGGGCACAAAGTTGTAGCTTTCTAGGAGCACCAATGGCTTCCAGGTCCTCCTGTTTGGTGCTTGTGCTCTTTACATTGGTGTAAAGCACTTAGCTGGGCTGTTGGCTTTATTGCCTTCCTGGAGGAGCACTCATCATTCCTTTGAGATAATTTTCTGCTGTTTCCCTTTTGGCTTTTATTACCATAGGAATCCCTGGCTTGGCTCTGTAAGTGTGCAAGTGTGTTCCGGTGATAACTCACACACTTCAAAGTCAGCAGGGTCTAGATGCACTTTAGCTGGGTTTTTGATTTCATGCCCAATGCTGGCATGCCAGCCCTAGGCTCATGTCTGCCAAGTCTGGTCTTGTTGCCTTCCCCCTTCAAACCTAGTTTGAAGCCTTCTCAGTCAGCCCTGCCAGCTCAAAAGCTAAAATCATGAGCTTTGTGATGTTAAAGGCACAAAGACTGATGTGAAGAATTGTAGAATGGGGAAGAAATGTGCAAATCCAATCTCTGCAGCTGTCCACTGTTTTCATCTCTGTGCTTCCTGTATTTCCTGTTGTGCTGCTGCTTATTTTTCCTTCGGGAGTTCACAGCTGTGTGAGTTGTTTCTGGCTATGCTGTTTAGTAATGCTTATAAAATAATGACTGGAGGAATTGTGGGCTCTTGTGGCAGCTTTCCTTCCTTGTGTTGTAGGGATCCAAGGAATAGTGTATGCCTACTGCCATATTCTGCCACAGATCCAACTCTACGGGCCAACCAACTTCTCTCCTATTATAAACCACATGGCAAGGTTTGCAGCACACTTGCTGCAACAAGGAATGGCTGCAGTGAGTGCAAGGTCTTTACTGTGGATCTGCTTTGGGCTGATGTTTCTGTTTTCCATGTTGATGGTTGAATAGAATGGAATAGTAAATTGACGTTATCTTCCCTCCTTTGAATCACAACTTTTTTCTTCTGTTTTCAGCCTACAGAGAGCATGTTGATGCTCTCTTGGTACATACTGATATGAACCTATACTGGGTAGACACATTAGTTTCATTGCTCAAGTGATACTAATTTCTCTCGCAGTTTGCTGGAACTGTACTTAACTGTTGCATTGTTTAGGGGTACTGTGTTGGCTGTTCAACCAGTTGGACTGAGGCAGCAGTTGCCTCACCCTAATCTCTCTTACCAAGCTCTGTCGTCTGTAGGGCATGCACATAGAACAGAGTTTTGTGCCAAATAATTTTGCTCTCAAGAATGTTAAGAAAAAACTTCTAAGATGCTACCAGAGGGCTTGACTATTCGTCCCACTATAGTGGCATGGAGTCTGAGAACTCTTCAATCGGTGTGCTAATTGCAGAACATCTGTGCTTCCCTATGGTCATGGACTCGCTTGCGTGCTGCTGTGGCCATGGTTGCTGTTGAAATTTTACTTCATTTCTTTAAACTTCATTAATTTTGCTTAAGAATGAAGGACTTGGTGTCCTGATAGATTTTAGCTGATTTCATTTTGACAGACCAATCAGAAAGAATTTTGATATACACTGTGCTACTTGTTTTATCACCTAGCTGTGTCAGTATTTTTGGTGCTACTTAATGTTTGTGTGTATATCAAATACATTTCCCACACTGTGAGGCACTTGGGCTAAGGAGATCGATTTCCTGCATTTCTGAGGGTATTTTTTAACCTTCCCAGCACTTTGGGGAAATCTTCCTAATTCTCGTAATGTGTTAAATATCTCTACTTTTTCTTTCAGATTTAAACCTACCCATTTAAATAAAGAATCAGCAATCAGGTACAGTAATTTGTGTTGACTGTGTAACTGCATTGGAATTGGAAATTCAGTTTTTTCTTCTTTTCATTGTGTTTGCCTCCTTTTAAGTCTGTAAATAGCTGTTATAAAACAGCAGTTGGTCATTTCAGGACCAGATATGAAACTTCAGCTTCTGGAAAATGATAGACATTTTAAACATTTAACCACACTCTAAGGCATTGGTTTGAGGTACTCCTTTCTTTCTGGGAAAGCCATTCTTCCCTTCATGTTATCTCTAGAATGTCTCATGTTATTTATCACTGTTGTGTTTTGAGATTTCTAATACTTCTCATGCTTCTAATTTAAATTGTTGATAAAAAAAGAACAAAGGCTTTTTGAGTTATACTGCGGGGATATTAAATATCTCTAGCCTTTGTGAATGCCAGTCAGTAAAACAGCACTGATTCACAGTAAATCAGTGAATTTCGTTTGCAGCTGTGTTTCTTTAGTAGTACTTTTTGTCTCTGGTACTTTTTGCCAATTGATGTAATTCTTTATAAATTGAACTTAATCCTTTCTCTTTTTTCTAGTACAGAGAATATTGGATGTGCACAATGAAAATCATTAGGCATAGGAAAAAATGTGAATGAAAGTAAGTTTCTTTGATGTTCTGGTTTTGTCTCATGCACAGCAACATTTGATTTCTTTCTTAGCATAAGGGAGTGCTCTATCTGCCTTCAGTGAGCTCTGGTGTTGAAATACCTAACTGTATGCTTTCTCATGTTTTTTAGCAATACTTTATCTTGGTGATCATCACAGGTGGAGGGATCACTGATCTAGACCAAACTAGGCAAGCCATTCTTAATGCCTCTAAGCTGCCCATGTCCATTATCATTGTTGGTGTTGGTGAAGCCAATTTTAAAGTAATGGAGTTTCTTAATGGAGACAGCAGTGTTCTAAAGCCTGTGACAGGAGAGCCAGCTGCATGGGACATTGTCCAGTTTGCCAGTTTGCCTTACCAAAAGTTAAAAAATGTATGTTTTTTTATTATTTTTAATTCAGAAGAGTCCAGTTGCCAGGATGTATGCATCCTAAAAATGACCATGATCTTGACAAGGCAGCAAGCAGCTGTTGGCTTCTGTGTTCAAAGCTGTGTCTTGCTGTCTTGCAGTTCTTGAGAGCCTTCATTGTATAATTGATTTCGCCTACTGTCTCTTGGCTATTGCAGGATTAAAGGGGATGTTCTCTGTCCTGGGATACAAGCATTTAGGCAAAGAACTGAGATCATACTGTCAAGTCTCTGATGTTGAGGTCCATGAGTGATTGAAGTTGAGGTCAGTCTTCCCTGCTGTTGAAAGCAGTCCAGTCACTCAACTCCCCAACTTCCCCTGTTTGCATTGGTGTTCATGTACTTTACATGGTCAATTGGGTTGAATGATTCAAATGAAAACCCAAAATGAGAGACATTGCTAATGGCTGGGGCAGTTTTTCACTCAGACTGGGGCCACATAAAGACTATGTGAATCTGAGGTTGAGGTGAGAACAAATGGTTTTCATCAGCAGTGCTCAGAGACTGACTGGAAGTGCTCCAAAAGCTGTAGCAAGCAATTCTTAAAACAGAATGAGCAGGGCAGGTGTTCCAAATTCCCTAACAGAGTGTTTCACTAGCCTACCAAATCTGTTCTTTGTGGTATTTCTGATTTATTCTCCCCATTCTCTTTTCAGGCTCCCCAGGAAGCACTTTACCAGATGCGGTGCTGTGTCTTTAATATCTGTTTCCCCCCCCAATCCCTATCTCCTCATCTCCAAGTTGTCAATCCTCCTTTACCCTGCCCCTTTCCCTGGAACCTTCCCTGTCATTCATCCTAGCCCCTTCCTCTGCTTCCAGAGCATTCCCTGTCTGTTTGGTGAGACTTGAAACCCTATTGCTTATTTTGTGTTATTTCACTTCCCTGCTTCCCCTGATAGGTTTGTGATGGGTTAATTCTGCCCTAAACTCCTCCCCTGCTATTCCCTCATTGGTTGCTGTTCCTACACCCGTCTCCCTGAATTCTTGTATAAAAGCTCTGCTCCTGCTCCCGAGGGGGTCTTGGGGCTCACTGAATAAAACCATCCTGTTCACCCCCAAGTCCCGTGTCGCCTCCGTCTGTTCCTGCACCACCGACTGGGACAGCAGAGCTTCGCAGGGGGAGCGGCCGCCCGTTCTCTTCCCTCTCGCCACCCAGCACGGCTTCCACTCGGGGTGGCGCGGCGAGGGGAGTGCATGCCGCGCTACAACAACCAGATGGTTCTGGCTGAAGTGCCTAAGCCCCTAGTGTCATACTATAAATGGCAGCAGTGGTCCCCCCGAAACTGCCAGAAATCAAGGTGATGTAGATTCAGGCTAGCCCTGGCTACCTGTAGCACTGGGGTGAAGGAGAGCTGCCTGCAGCCACACTGTCTCTTTACACACTGTGGATGCTCAGAGCCTTGAGATTGCACCAGTCACACCACTTCTTTCACCTGCTTGCACTGAGTCTTTGATCTTTCCTATTTCTATTGGAAGAAATGTAAATACAGAAAAGCCTCCAAGTGCTGGAAGTTTTTGTCATAGAAAGATTGACCTTGTTGGTTTTCTACCTTGCAATAGCGACACACTGTAACACATCACACCACACAGTTGATTGATACAGCCCATCTGCTGCTCGCTATCAGTGTGGGCCCCTGTACTGAGCTGCTCTACTGCTGAGCCTGGTGAGAGAAGTGTTGCACCCGTGTTTGCTGTTATGTTACTTACCATGTGCTCCTTTGACAGGTGTCTTTTATAAAGCTGCCTTGAAATGGGTGTGACCAAAGACTGTTGGTTGGATGCCTGTGGTAGTTCCTGTTGTCTTCATAAAATGCCAGTATATTTTTTTTAATGTTTCAGTGACCATACCTTTCTGTGTTATTTTTAATCACATTTTTCTATTAGCAAAATTTCTTTCTGTGATGAACTCCAGCTTGAAGCCATTGTTATAGTTCAAGAATGCTGCACTTTTCTTATTTGTGGGGGTTAAATGAGAATCATTAATTAATGGGATTGGGGTGAGATTAATGAATCACATTAATGTGACTTTAAAAATCCTGCAGTTGGAAACACTGAAATGAAGGTACTTTGAACTCTTTATATCACACAAGTTACAAAATGAAGAAGTAACTTATCTGTGGAACTCCAAGGAGGTGCCCCCTTATTCTCAGTAGTGTGAAATGTGCATTACGTGGTCTGGGGACTGTAGAACAGGCACATGATAGCAAAGCATAAATGTTTTGAGGAAGATGGTTCATTTCCAAGTAGACATAAAGAAACTTGGGCTTGTCATTGCACTACAAGTATCAACACTTACAGTTACTGAAATAAATATTCTACTTTGACTTAGATAACATGTCTGGACTATTTTTTCCTTCCTGGACTTTCCCCTTTGTTTTGCAGCAATGTGGATGGTGGTGTTTCAGTATCTGAGTGAGCCTAGGTTCAGTGGAATTAAAAAAAAAAAAAAAAAAAAGCAGAGCCAGTTGTCCATCATTGTTAATCACTAAATTTAATCACTAAGACTGCTGAATCCCACAGCCCTTTCCTGCAACAAGATAAGATGTTCCTTTACTGTGAAGTTGCAAAAGAATTTGTGTGTTCTACCTGACAAATCAGAAGATGGTGAGAATACATTGGCAGACTGCATTTGTGATCCAGGCCCTGAAACTTAAGTTACAAGCTTGAATGAAAGCAGAACTTGGGGTTGAATTCACAGAATGACTGAGTTGGAAGAGACCTTCATCGTTGAGTCCAACCTATGCCCTAACACCTCAATTAAACCATTGCTCCAAGTGCCACATCGAGTCTTTTGTTAAACACATCCAGGGATAGTGACTCCACCACCTCCCTGGGCAGGCCATCCCAATACTTTATCACTCTTTCTGTAAAAAACTTTTTCCTAATACCCAACCTGTATTTCCCTTGGCACAGCTTAAGACTGTGTCCTCTGGTTCTGTCAGTTCTTGGCTAGAGAAAGAGACCAAACCCCACCTGACTACAACCACCTTTCATGGAGCTGTAGAGAGTGATAAGGTCACCCCTCAGTCTCCTTTTCTCCAGGCTAAACAACTCCAGCTCCTTCAGTCATTCCTCACAAGGCTTGTGTTCCAAGCCTCTCACCTGCCTCGTTGCCCTCTGGACATGCTCAAACATCTCCATGTTCTTCCCAAACTGAGGGTCCAGAACTGGACAGCACTTGAGCTGTGCCCTCACCAGTGCCGAGTGCAGAGGCAGAATAACCTCCCTTCTCCTGCTGGCCACACCATTCCTGACCCAGGCCAGGAGCCATTGGCCTTCTTGGCCACCAGGTCACACTGCTGGCTCATGTTCAACCGGCTTTAGACCAGTGCCCCCAGGTCCCTTTCTGCCTGGGCACTGTCCATCCACACCATCCCCAGCCCATAGCATTGCAGGGGGTTATTGTAGCCAAAGTGCAGGACTGGGCACTTGGATTGATTAAACTTCATCTTGTTGGACTCTGCCCATCCCTCCAACCCTTCCAGGTCTCCCTGCAGATCCCTCCTACCTTCCAACAGATTGACACACACTCCCAGTTTGGAGTCATCTGCAAATTTATTAATGAGACTGAATGCCCTCATCAATAAAGACATTGAACAGAACTGGCCCTAGCACAGAGCCCTGAGGGTCACCACTGGTGACTATCCTCAGCTGGATGCAGCACCACTCACCACCACTCTGGGCTGGCCATGCAGCCAGTTCTGAGCCCAGCACAGAGTGCTCCCATCCCAGCCGTGGGCTGCAGCTTTTCCAGCAGTGTGCTGTGGGAGGCAGTGCCAAAGGCCTTGCTGGAGTCCAAATAGACACATCCACAGCCTGTCCCGCATCCACCAGGACGGTCATCTGGTCATAAAAGTAGATCAGGTTGGTCAAACCTAAACCCCTGCTGGCTGGGTCTGATATCCTGGCCACCCTGTAATTGCTGTGTGATGACACTCAGTGTAAACTGTTCCATGACCTTACCGGGTACTGAGGTCAGGCTGATCAGTCTATAATCCCACCCTTTTTATGAATGGGCATAACACTGGACAGCTTTCAGCCATCTGGAACTTCACCAGTGAGCCAGGACTGCTGGTAAATGATGGAGAGCGGCTTCACAAGCTCATCTACCCTCATCACCCTGGGGTGGATCCCATCTGTTCCCATGGATTTATGAACATCCAAATGGCTCAGCAGTCCTCTTGACTGCCTCCTCTTGGATAATGGGGACCATTCTGCCCCCTAATGTCACTGACGAACCCAAGAGGACAGTTGTTCTGAAGGTGTCTTCTCACTAAAAACTGAGGCAAAGAAGGCCAAAGCACCTCTGCCTTCTCTTTGTCTGCAGTTACTAAGTTCCCTTCCGCATCTAATAAAGAACAAAGGTTTGTCTTACCCTTCCTTTTACCATGGATATAGTTATAAAAACATTTTTTATTATCCTTTACAGAAGTTGTCATTTTAAGTTCAAACTGAGCTTTAGCCTCCCTAATTTTTTTTCCTAGATGTTCTAGCAGCCCCCTTAAATACTTCCTGAGAGACTTGACCCTCCTTCCAAAGATTATACATCTTCTTTTTATTCATAAGTTCCTCCAAAACCTCCTTGCCCTTCCAGGCTGGACATTTGCCTCATCAATTTGTCTTTCAGCACACAGGGACAGTTTGTTCCTGTGCCCTTAAGATCTCTGTTTTGAAGCATGCCCACCTTTCTTGAACTCCTTTGTTTCTAAGGGCTGCTTCCCAAGGAACTCTCTGAATAAGTCTCCTAAAGTAGGCCAAAATCTGCCCTCTGGAAATCCAGTGTAAAAGTATTTTTTAATGTTCCTTCTCATTTCACCAAATATCAAGAATTCTGTAATTTTATGATCACTGTGCCCCAAGCGACCTCCAACCACCACATCTCCTGCCAGTCCATCTCTATTTGCAAACAACAGGTTTAACATAGTCCCTCCCCTGGTGGGCTCTCCCACCAGCTGTGACAAAAAGTTGTCCTCCACAAACTCTAAAAATTTCCTGGACTGCCTTTTTTAATCTGTATTACGTTCCCAGGAGATGTCTGGCAAGCTGAAGTCTCCTACAAGAAAAAGGGCTGATGTACCTGAAACTTTCTCCAGCTGTTTATAGAATAAGTTGTCCACCTCTTCTTCCTGGTTGGGTGGATGGTAACAGACTCCCAGTAGGATGTCAGCCTTGTTGGTCTTCCCCTTAATTCTTACCCATAGACATTAGTTTCAATACCTATAGTGACAAAACCCTCCCTAATGTAAAAGGCCACCCCTCCACCTCTTCTCCCTTTCATGTCTCTCCTGAAGAGCTTGCAACCATCCAGGGCAGTGCCCCAGCCATGTGAGTCATCCCACCACGTTTCTGTGATGGCAATTACATCATAGCTCTGCTGTTGGACCATGGCCTCCAGATCTTCTTGTTTGTTGCCCATGCTGCATGCACTGGTGTGCATGCACCTCAGCTGGGTTGCTGATTTCACCTCTCACTCAGGCTTACCACTCTTGGGCCTGCTTCCAGACAACCCAGCTGAATCCCCTACCCTTTTCAAACCTAGTTTAAAGCCCTCTCAACAAGTTCTGTCATTTCATGAACTGAAAACCTTCTGCCCTTACCAGAGAGGTGGAGCCCATCTGGTTCCAGTAGGCCAGGTGCCATAAAAGTTGCCCCATGATCAAAAAGTCTGAAATTCTTCCGATGACACCAACCCTTGAGCCACTTATTGATAATGTGAACTCCCCTATTCCTTTCACCATTTTTCTCAGC